CCCCTGTGTCCCGCACACAGCCTCGGTCGGGAAAGGGACTGGTGGCTCTGCAAGGGTTCCAGGGGTCCTTCCTGTCCCTGTCCCTGTCCCTGTCCCTGTCCCTGTCCCTGTCCCTGTCCCTGTCCCTGTCTCTGTCCCTGTCCCCGTCCCTGACTGCTGCCATCCCCAGGAAGATGGGTTTGTTGTGTCCAGATGCTTTGCCTAGTGACCGTTCCCTGCTTTCTGGCAAGGATGTGGTTTCAACTGAGCATTGTGAGCCTCTGGATATATTTTGAAATGGAAAGGATTTTCTTTTCTTACCCATCCTGTTCAAGTATTTTACCCTTCTTTGTGTATCAAAATAACAATTTCCTTTCTCTCTGCATGATAGCAAACATCTATAAAGAACTCAGGTGATCCTCGCTGCTTGCAGGGCAGAAGCAAGCGGGTTTCATATGGCACATGTAAACATGTCATTTGTCACCACCAACCTCAATGGAGTCATCGTTTCCCTCTTCTCCCCTCTGCTGTGCTACTTTACAGTCATAGAAAAGCCTCTCAGATGCACCAGTTTGTAGACTCACACAAGCACAGCCTTGCTTCATATCTCATTACTGGCAGGATCAAAATGGCATTTTTGGTGTTTACAGGGACTTAAATGAGAACTATAACATGACCTACAGTTTGGAGAACTGCCTTGTCCCAACTCTACCTCTGCATCTGGGATGGATGTTGAAAAATAATCCATCTCCAAGGAAAAAATCAGACATCCCATTTTATAGCTGAAGTATATATAATTCTTTGCTGATTTTTTGGATGACTGTTTGCCACCTTTTTTTTTCGTGCTTGTACATACTCTCTCCTCTCCCTTGGTGTGTCGTATGATGATGCCTTAGCTGTTTGTTCTGCCACCCTTGGAGCCACACACACGCACACATCCAGGCCCTTGGCACGGGTAACATTTTCCATGCCATGGTGGGCCGCTGCTGGTCCAGGGAAGGAATGCATAGGCAAGGATTTCCAGTGGGCCTGCAATAGCTGGCAAAGGCCAAAGTTCATTAAAGCAAAATAAATGTCACTTTCTTTTTGTGGAATAAATTATCCTACTGGAGTGTGATCATTGTGGTTTTAACCTGGGACCTTGCAGTAAAAGATTATGCAGCAACCTCTGACCTCTTTGATTTCTGCTTTACTCTTCTGTTGTCAAGGGAATGTCCCTGATCAGGTGAAAGTAAAATGTGTAATGGGCCATATCACAGTAATACCTTTCATTGAGTCAAATTGATAAACTCTTGCCAAAAATTCTTAGCATCTGGCACTTCCACGGAAACCACAAACAATGATTGCACATATGGGAGCTCAAAGGCCAGAGGTCATGACAGCAGTTTATTACATGCACCTTACAGTGATCATTTTCCCTAGGAAATTAACCCCTCTCTAACAGAAACGCATCAAGTGAGCTCTTCACAGTATTTCCATCGTATTGTTTTGGCTAATCAAGGAATAAGTGTGCAGCTAAAGTGGTGACAAGATGCAATTAAGTAAAAGATGATTGATTAGGTTTCAGTGTGCTTAATAATGTATAAAAAAGATGATTGTGAGATCAGAATGAATATGCTGGCTATGAGCTCAGAGGTCCTTCTCGTGCAGCTGCAGGTCTGTGAGGGTGGCAGAGGGTTCCAGCGCCCTGAGCAGTGACTGAGCTGCTGGTGTGGGTGCCAGCTGGGCGCTGGGTGCAGCAGCACCTTTGGTGTGGGTGCCAGCTGGGCGCTGGGTGCAGCAGCACCTTCCCTTGGGGTCTGGCTGCCAGGGCACGGCTCGGGCTGTGCTGCTGTTCCAGACCCTGCTCTTCACTGCCCTGAGCAGCAGCCCTGGGGCTGCCGGAGACATTTCACACTCACAGCACTGAAGATAATTGTGTTGCTGTAAATAAATGGTGGTGGTTACACTCACTTATATTGAAACATCATCCTGGGTATTTTGATCTCCTTTTCTTCTTTAAACTCTGTCATCAAAACCATCCAATCACTTGGCTCAGTCGCAGCTAACCATGCCTGAGATGTGGCTCATGTTAGTTGTACAGTCGCTGCTGAGTGGATTTTTCTAATCCACCCTGCAGAACTTGGATGATCATTGCCAGGTCCTTTGAAGGGTCATTGCCAGCAAACCTTCCAGAGATGATGTGAACCCACTTCCCTCTTCCTACTGTGCTCAGGACTCCCTTCCAGTTTCCTTAAGGGCCAGAGGTATATCCCAAGCCACTGCCCCAGGCACTCCAGTGAACCCAGCTCTGGGACACTGCTGGGATGCTGCAGGCTGGGCTTTACAAGAGCACCTCTATGAACCGTGTCATAAGAACTCTGGTTCTCTCTGAAAGTCACTAGAAATGAGCAGCAGAATCACGAGGAAGGGAAGGATTCTCACAGGCTGGAGCTGGGTCACAGCAGTGAAAGGACAGAGGCAGCTGAAGCCCAACACGGCCGTGGGAGCTGGAGCCACAGTGCCCAGAGCCTCAGTGCTTCGGATCTGCTTCACACAGCCCCACGCCCGGCCCACCCCACCAATGTGTGACCAGTGCTGCTCCCCAGCATGCAGGTCCCTCCCGAGCCGCTGCCACGGCCTGGGGCGCAGGGCAGCCCCAGGGCCAGCGCTCCAGGCACCGGCGCTCCTTGCTTAGGGACGTGCTTGGGCATTTGCTTGCCCGAAGCCTTTTGGCTTTGGTGGGCTTTCAACACGGTCTTGCCTCTCTGAGGCCGATCTGACTGCGCTGACGGCTGCTTCCCTCATGCTGGCTGCACCTGCATCACCTTGGCTTGGTGCACTCTGGCTCTGTTCAGCAGCAGCTGTGAAGGGGCTGCCAGATACTTTGCATTGGGAACTCTGTTTTTAGGTGAACACCCTATTTTTTAGCTGTGTATGGCTGTATTACTTGTATATTTATATATTCTGTATTTATGTTATCGAAATGTAGTATTTTGTAGCTGTCTGTTACAATTTGTTTAACTTGTAAAAAATATGACTGTGCTCTCTCATACTTAACCAGCTCCTTTCACTGTAGATTCGCTGCTCCTTTCCCTCCGTGTCGGAAACAAACCACCATAATGTATGTAGATTGGAATTTTTTCTTTATTTAATTATTTGTCATTATTAAATTATTTATTAGTGTTTTTAATTTTCATTTCACTTCAATTTTTTTCCTGCCACCATTGCTGGCAGCCAAGATCCATGTTTCTCATGCATCACGTTCCTTCCCACGTGCATGTGCACGTACACACACACACACACACACACACACAGAGTATAAACAAAAACAGAAAAAGAAAAATAAGAGAGAGATTACACTTCAGTATAT